ATGAAACCTGCATTTGGCCGTCATCGGCTTTATCATGATTTTCTCCGTTGTTGTGCTTTCCTTTCTGATTCGTTTTCGTTTTTTGGTTACGGCTTGTGTTGTTGTTTGCGGCGGCACTCGCGCATTTGGACCTCACCGGATTGGGCCGACATCCGAAGGTTCTTTCACCTTAAGCGAACCAATATCTCACTTGCTTCTTATGGTCCTTTTAGGAGATAAAGTATACGAATAAGATATGCTTGGTAGGAAGTTTGTCATCAATGATTATCTATCGCCATATCAATCTTCGAAGCTTAAAGCATCGTTGTATTCCTTCTTCAATGAGCACAAACCTTTAGGCACCAGCGTACCGCCGGGGTATCATTTTGCCTACTACAACCCACAGACTTTTGAAGGTGAGCTCTCAAAAGATGGGTACGATTCCTATCAGCAGCCCCAGGATGATACATTTAGGCGAAGAATGTGGGTTGGAGGCCAGATGGACTTCATCAAGCCTCTAGAGCTCGGAAAGGAGTCACAGTGTAACGAAACGATAACAAGGTTCAGAAGACTAAAGGACAACTTCTTTGTTGACATTTCGAGAGAAATGGTACAAGATGGGGAGATAAGATTCAAAGAGCTTAGACAATTGATATATACAAATCACACATTTGATCCTGCAAACAGTGTGACAAAGATCGCTTCAGAACGACCAACACACACCCATCAGTTGACTCCAACTGAGATACTACTCTTTAGATACTCTGCATTGACATTCAACCCGCACAAGATTCACTACAACAAGGAGTACTCGCAACGTGAGGGCTATCCTGATCTACTAGTCCATGGACCATTGATGGTGACCTTATTGCTAGAATGGGCAACTTCAATGTATGCCGGTTTGAAGGTCCAGTCATTCAAGTACAAAAACTCATCCCCGGCTTTTGTCAACCAACCTTTGAGACTATGTCAATCCGGTTCTGATGCACAGATGAAACTGTGGATTGAAAATTCCCAAGGATTTATAGTTACTGAAGGATTATTAACATCATCCTAGAGATTGTTTCGTCAACTGGTGTTCAGTTTTAACCCATTTGTCCCATTTGAGAGGCGATTTGGGATCCACATCGGTAACAACAGCTTCTATGAACGAGGATCCATCAAACCTGAGGAAAACGGTGACGTCTCTTAGCGTCATCTGTAAACAGTGGTCCTCCGTAACATCTCTTAAACTGTATATTCCATTCATAGTGAACTCAGGATCCTGGAGTTTCATTATCCTGTGGAAAACATTGTTCTCAGATAAGAGATACTCTTCCAGTGCAATTTGAACGTTGGTGGAATGATGAGCCAATTTGAGTGAAACGTCATGGATTTTCCGCCGATCTGTTAAATCCCTTGAACAGAACAATGGTTCTACGCCATGCTTATGTCTATGATGAATGCAGTTTCGGCATCCATAGCTTGTTTCTATCAACCACTTTGGTTTTATTTCCAGCACTGACATATCGTCAAGTTCTGTACTGTAAGCTGCAAAGTAGTTACCCTTCTTTACATTTTCCATATTCTTTAGGATGTTTGGCATCAGTAATCCAAACCCTTCGTTTAATGCACCCTCTTTCATGAATTCAACCTGAACCAACTCGACTGAAACCACTTCGGGAAGCATGTGGCACATGGTTTCTGTCATGAACTTGTAAACCTGCTCTGTTGTTATGGTTTGGTTCTTCATTCGAAGTCGTAGTACCTTATCACTCAGCGAACTATCAGAACCGTTATACTGATATACATAATTAGCATTTCCCTTCGCAAGTAATATCCAATCCTCTGAGTGTTTAAGTATCTTCATCTCTGTTCATACTAAATGTTGTTGCCATTCCTGATATATGTAACATAGCCATCGACCAGACTCAGACAACAATCGCTATGAAGCAGTACAAATCCGAGGGCTCATCGGCCGGATCTGTATGTTTATCTTAGAAAAAAAAAATTTTTTTAGTATGTAGTTACCTCTTTCAGTACCAAATTAGTTCAACATAGGATATACACAGCAATAACAATGGGTACCGGAACCACTGAAAGACCCAAGATCAAGAATAAGCAGATTAGACAGAAGCTCTTTGCTGAGTTGAAAGCGAAGAAGAACAAAGATCGTCATAAGCTTCGAGCATCTAGAGCCAAGGAAGAGAAGGAGAACCCAGCGTTGAAAGAAGAGAGATTGAAAACCGCCGTTACCGAGACAATTGAATCTAAGAGAGTATTTGATGAAACTGTTGGTGCAGACGTCGAAGGTGAAGATGATTTCAGTTCGTACTTTGACGGTCGTGAACCAAAGATTTTGTTAACCACCAATGCTAATGCAAGAAAGGCTGCGTATGAGTTTGCAGATATGTTGATGGAGGTGTTACCAAACGTTACGTTTATCAAACGCAAAAGAGAATTCTCGATGAAGGACATGTCGAAGTTCTGTGCTAATAGAGAATACACAGATCTAATAGTGATCAACGAAGATAAAAAGAACGTGAACGGTATCACTTTTATCCATTTACCAGATGGACCAACTTTCTATTTCTCAATCACATCGCTTATACCTGGTAAGAAAATCAAAGGACACGGTAAAGCCACTGATCACATCCCGGAGTTGGTTTTGAACAACTTTACAACGAGACTGGGTAAGACTGTAGGAAGACTTTTCCAGTCGTTATTCCCCCACAGACCAGAATTTGAAGGAAGAAACGTCGTTACGTTACACAACCAAAGAGACTACATCTTCTTCAGAAGGCATAGATATGTCTTTAGAAACGAGGAGAAAGTTGGGTTGCAAGAACTTGGACCACAGTTCACGATGAAGCTGAGAAGGGTACAGAAGGGAATAAAGGAGGAAATCGAATGGGAGCACAGACCAGATATGGAGAGGGACAAGAGAAAATTCTACCTCTGAACATTTCCGCTGTGTACATATGGTTCAACTTATCATCAAATGGATATAACTGCGTATCTTGTAGTCATTTTTTGGGGTGTGTTTTCATCACACTCATAACAGCTTTGGAAGTGGACCCCGCTGTACAGTTAGCCAGCGTGTATTACAGCCCATGGCTAAGAGTATACAGAGGGCATTGCACCGTTTCTCAGCGATTGTTTATCAAGTCGCAAGGACATTTATCAGCGTTGTAATCTAATCTAATCTTCCCAGCCTACGCTGTGCGCCGCGAATCCTGTCCAGGCTACCCTTTGCAGGCCAGGAGAGAGAATACACAGAGGGGCACAATTGGCCGTGGGCGGCAAGCAGTGGGCGGGTGGTTAAAAAAAACATAAACAAGGAGATGTTCCGATGGCGGCGGCTTTGAGTTGAACAGGAAGAAAAACAAATCCATTTTTTACTCGTAAACACCACTCGCTAGAAGGCACCAACGAATAGGAGTGGCTTCATTATCCAAAGCTAGGAATCAACTTCAGTAATTTACCACTTGTTATCTTTGCTAATTCTGTTTGGCTCTAAAGAGTTTGTATATATATTCAGCAGTTGATTTCGGCCGATTGCCCTTTTTGTATTTGTTTGTTTGTTTTTTTGTCGCTCTTCGTACTTTCGTTAAAAAAAGTAAACAACTGACAAAGCAATAGAACAACAACAAGACAACAGGGCGGCATAGAGTAAGCAAAGTTCACGGTGTCCTATTATACATTGTCTCTCACTAGTTGGCTTGAAACGGAAACAGAGCACAAGAAGCGAACACAATGGATGCTATTGGTGTGCAACAGATTGTTAGCGCCCTGGAGTTGATACATTCTCCAAAGTCAACGAACGAAGCTCGTCGGGAGGCACAGGCATTCTTGGAACACGTCAAGAGTCAAGAAGAATCACCTCTATGGGGCTACGAACTGGCGCTACCGTCCCACAACACGATTGTGCGTCATTTTGGACTGACCTTGTTGCAGAACTCAATCACCCGTAACTGGTACAATTATGACGAGGAGAAGAAGTTGGCCATCCGTAAATGGATCATCGATCTGGCGAACAACCTCCAAGAGAACGATCCACATTACATCAAAGAGAAACTGGCATTCATCTGGGTAGGCGTAGCAAAGAGGTGCTGGGGTTCTTACCTTGCCACTGTGGAGGATACCGAGGCGGAGTACCAGGCATTTGTCACAGGTTGGTATACAATGGATAAGGATCTATTTGACCTATGGATGCTGAGCCCACAGACAAGAACATTGGTACTGATTATATTCAGAACTCTGTTTGAAGATACTTATATCCTAGATGATCCTATCACCTCGAGAAGAAACTCCATACTTACGTCCTTGTGTACCCATGTGGTTTTACCTCAAGAAACTTTAGATACGATTTACGAACCAAATGCCAATTTACAGAAATCCAAGGCTACAAAAGAGGGGTGGTTCGTGCTGTGGCTTAAAGCATTGACCGAATTCATCAAAAATGGAGATGAGAAAGGTGTTATCAAAACTTTGGAGACTTTCAAGACATGTCTAAATTGGGTGTACAGCTCGGTACTCACACAATCAAATGTATTAAACACTCTGCTACAAGCTGTGACTATTGATAGTATCAGGATTAAGAACATCGCAATTGACTGTTTGTACATTCTTTTCACAAGGTCATTTAGTCGATCTTCAGATATGGATGCCATCGTTGGTAGTATCTTCAAACCTGAAGGCATGCAACTGTTGACAAATATTTACCAGGAAATTAGACTTGATCCAGATGATATCGACGATGAATACTACTCATTTGCGAAGAAAGTGACGGAAATGATTGTTGGGCTATGCGAACACTTACAAACCGTGGACGAGAAGACTTCAGATATCTCAAACTATCTAAAATTGGTCTTATCCACAACTGCAAGCGATAGTTTGACAATTTCAGCTATATCCCTTAACTTTTGGGGTAATATGCTCAGAGAAAATGATAAGATTGAGATCATCGATGAGTATATTTTTGACTTATTGGAAGTAGCTGCAAGTAAGATGCTAAATTACAGCAGTCTTCCAGAGGAGCATGTCAGTTGTAAATATCTCGCTTTTGATTTCAATTCGCATGCAGACTCTTACTCGTTCTTGAATAACTACAAAAGATTGGTTGATGATATCATCAGATTGACGATTTGCATTAGGGCAGAACGTGGCTTACAATGGTTGAATAATCGTTTGGAGGTATTTTTCTCCTCTGATATTGGAAGTACTGTATTAACTTCAGAGACTTTGGATTACCATCAAGAACCATTTATCTTGACAATCTCTCAGTTTGATATTGTTGAGGCGAGTGTAAGGGGTATTGTCCGATGGAAAATCTGGTACGGAAATGCAGATTACAACGAGAAATTAGAGCAACTCTTGGGGACAGTGGAGATCCTTCTCGATAAGCTCTTGGCAATGCAAGTTAAGGATCCTGTTGTTTTGAAAAAGCTTATCCAGCTATATGTACAGTTCACACCATTGTGTAAGGACAATTTGATATTCAAAGTCATTGAAAGACTTCTGACTGTGTGTACATTTGAGTGTCCTGAAGGAGCATCTGATGAACTTGCATCTACAATCAAAGATCTAAGAACAACATGTGGTACAGAACTCAACAGAATTGCATTTGTTATGCCAGAGAA